ATGTGTTTGGACAAGTGTTTGTATACTTGCCTACTCCCAAGGATTCAGGGCATTGGACTATAATATCAATTAAACTATAAACAAACAGATACATCAGTTCTAGGTAGACAGATGAGCAGACAGACCTGGTTCACTCTCCATATCCAGTTTAATTTATTCTATCCCAACTCAGGGAGCTGAAGTCCACACGTTTTAAACTTGGCTGGAAAACACTGATCTACATTATTTTCCTGCCCTAGGGAAAATGTCCAAAGCCAGCCAGATGTGAACCCTCCAGCCTTCATACTTACAGCTGCTGCGGCTTTTTTACCCTTGTCAACCGCATCTGCTGTCACGTAGGCAGTTGCCACACCGTAACTGGCCCAGACCACGGAGACGGGCACCAAAGCCCTGAAGGACTCTCCCACCTCGTTTGCGTAGCCTGCAACACACAGCAAAGCCCCCTCAGCCCTTTTGCGCTTCCACATTTTAATCTTCTTCCCAGCCCTGCAAAGTAGGCCGGGCTCAGCAATCATGGCCTGGCTCTTCCTCCTGCTATGCCATCCCTTGCTTAGCCTGAAGGCTTAACCTGCCCCTCTCTCCAACTCAGCAATCAGCTCCCCCTTTGCACACTTACAGGAGGAGGAGCAGCTGTCCCATCCAGATTAAATTTCGTCATGTTACACAAAGGGTGGAAAAGTGTCATCTCTGCACTCTGCTGTGCCCTTCAAAGTGCAGCCTTTTCCTCCTCCTCCTGCCTCGGGATCCAGAAAGTCACCTTGAGCCACAAATCCAGCTGTCTTCTTTCACTCCAAAACCCAAATTCTCACACTCTCTGGGCCTTCTTTATTACACTCCAAAACCCAAATTCTCACACTCTCTGGGCCTTCTTTATTAATTATTATTATTATTATTATTATTATTATTATTATTATTATTATTATTATTATTATTATTATTATTATTATTATTATTATTATTATTATTATTATTACTATTATTCTCCACTTGTACCCCAACACCTTCGGATCTCCTGCCCCTAATGGTGCCTGCATCTTCCTGCCTGGCCCGACGAAGCTTTTTTCCCCTCTCCCCTCTGAGGCTTTCTTTCAAAGCAGCAGCCCAGCGAGTGCATTCACACAACCCAGCCAAAACAAACAAACAAACCCCTAGTTTAGGACGTCTGGAATCCCCCTCAACAGCAGGGAGTCATAAAGCCACCAAAGGGTTCAAGCTAGGCACAGTCCCACACACACACAAAAAAAGCCCATCAAGGTTAAAACCAAGATTAAGACGTGCTCCGAGCACAGCAGCTTTCCTTCTAACGGGGCTAGAGAAAGAGGTCGTGGGAACTTGGGATTTCTGCCCGCAGGTTGGGAAGGACGGCGATAGGCTCCTGCCGGCAAAAGTGAAAGCTCCTTTGGGTTTCGCCCAACTTCCTTGTGCTCTGGGAGGGCCCACCATACTCTCCCCCCCTTCTTTGTCCGGGATCCACTCGGATTTCAGGATCTCCCCTTCCGCTCGCTCCCCGGCCGCGCTCTTGCCCCGCGGCTGCCTCCGGGTGCGCTCCGGGGCAGCGGCCGACCACGAGGCGCTCGGCTCGGCGTCGCAGCAGCCCGGGGAGGCTTCAGTCCCCCGATCGCTCCGGTCGGAGAGCTCTGGCTATGCTGCTCCCGCCGGGCTCGGCCGGCCGCTTTTCCTCCTGCGGGGCTGGGAAGGAGCGCAGCGCAGGGCGGGCACCGGGTAAGGCCAGGGGACCCGGGACGCCCCTTGGCGGAACACTCACCCAAGTAGCGCACCCAGGTGTCCCGGTAGAGGTCCGGCGGGGGCTCCGCGGCGCCCGGCCCAGCCATGCCGCCTCCTCCTCCTCCTCGCTGGCCCGCTCGCCCGCCCCCAGCGGCGGTTGCAGAGCGCGCCACGCCGGCTCTCCACCGTGCGCCCTGGGCGCACAGCGCACCGAGGAGCCGGCCGAAGCCCGGCCCAGCCGTTGCCCCTGGGCGGGGAAAGGGCGGGGAGAAGCGGAGGAAAGCCCGGCTTTCGCTTCGATCTCGCCGCCGCCGCCGCTGGCGGAGGAGGCTTCCAGCTTGGCCTCGGGCAGCCGGGATCTAGCCGGCCAGCGCGCCTTCCCTCCGGGCTCCCCGACCTGCCGTTGCCCATCCTTGCGGAAAGCGGGGCCAGCCCGGCTGGGAACAGCCGGAGGGTCCCGGGATGAAGCCGTGGGCGGGACAGCGCCGGGTTAGAGGCTCCGGCGGGCTGGCGCTGAGAGTTGCCTAGCCCAGGCACCATCGGTGGCCAGAGATCGTGGGGAGGGTCCGTCTCAGGCTGAACGCGCGCTCTATGAGCCCGGTCGGCAAGTTTGGGGGAGCAGCTAAGAGCCAAGCCGAGAAAGGAGGTGATTAATAATAATAATAATAATAATAATAATAACAACAACAACAACAACAACAGCAGCAGCAGCAGCAGCAGCAACAACAACAACAACAACAATAATAATAGTTGGAAGGAACCTTGGAGGTCTTCTAGTCCAATCCTCTGCTCAGGCAGGAAACCCTGTACCATTTCATTGCGTCCTTGGTTCCTTCATTGTGTCCAACCACAAGGCCCTTTTTAGTAGCAGATTGGGAAAAGAGAGGACAGCTAGTCCTCAACTTACAACTGTTTGTTTAATGACCATTCGGCACTGGAAAAAAGTGACTTTGACCTTCCTGGAACCTAATTCAGGGGGAGGGGCACCTTTTTTGAACCAAATGGGCAGAGAAGCCGGTTCAAACCACCAGATGGCAGTCAGGCAACACCTTCCCATCCTGGTTTGAAACAAACCCCTTTCGGTGGAGTCTGGGAAGTTGGTGGCTGCAGGGATGCTGGGCAGGACAAAGAAAGGCCGCAAGCAGGAGCTCTGAGCTTCCTCTCTTTTTCTCTGACCCGGTTTTTGGGCAGACAATCTCGGTCCCCACGTCTGTCCCGTAACTTGGCTTCCTTCCAGGGCCCAAAATCTGAGCAGCTTGCTCCTTTTTCTGGCTTCTGCAGGTGAGCCTGTTTCCCTGCTGAACTGTGGCTACAATAAAAATCCCCAAATCCGGATTAGAGTCCAGAATAGATCCAGAACATGATCCAGAAAAGAAGCCAGAACAGCATCTGGTGAGAATCCAGAATAGATTTCAGAATAATATCAAATAGAATATGGTGCACAAACCAGAAGAGTCCAGAATAGAGCCTGGAATGGAAATATCTGGGATAGGGTCGTGAATGTGGAATCCAGAACAGAATGGAATTTAGAATAGGATCAGCCCAGAATAGAGGACGGAATACATTTCGTGTTTGGATCCAGAATAGAATCCGGAATAGGATGTGGAATCCAGAATTGGCTCCAGAATATATTTTGAAACACTCCAGAACACAAACCAAAGTAGAATTTGGAATAGTTCAGAATAGATTCCAGAGGATCTAGAATAGGATTGGGCCTAATAGAATCCAGAATATGATCCAGAGTAAGATCTGTCTGATTTTCTGCTCTTTTTAAAAATTAGTGTTTAATTAGAGAATCAATTACCCTAATTAATAAATATAATTATTATAACTTATATAATTATAATTACATAATAATTACTAATAAGGAGAACTGTGCATAAAAATGCGAGGAAACAGTGCAAAAAAAAATTAAGCAGTTTCAAAATTCTCTACAGTGCAAGACAAACTCAGACCACTTCGCCCACCGTTTATTAGCTCCATCGATTTAAAAAAAAATTAAATTATCTTTCCCTGTACAGTTGTGAACTTGGGCAGAAATATTGAAGTATAAAAGGTTTGTATTTCTCCTCCAGACCATACATACATTCAGATATACCCGTACACAGTTCACATAGTCCCAAATATATTCGGGGGTTTTTTTGTTTTTTTAAATGTTCTTGGGTTTTTATCTTGGTTTTCTTTTAATTCCTGCTCTGTGAGAATGATATACTTGGGAGACGGGGGACGCTAGTCCTTTTATTCACATTGTTAGAGACGTAGCTTCTGGAACTTATTTGAAGCCACCTTCAGGATAAACCATTTTTCAAAGTAGTTTAAAAATAATGACCAGAATAAAATAGAATTGAGGCCTGGGTTTGCTTGCTTTTTCTCTTCCTTCCTCTGCAGTTTTCCTTTTGTGCTGTCGCTTTAGAATTGCAACAGTATTGTTTTTATGCAGTTGGGCATGCAACTGGGGCCAAAGAGCTAAAGAAAACAGCTTATAGTAAAGGACTCACCAATCCCTGTGCAAAATTTTCTAATGAACTGAGTTAATCTGCCAAATTCATCTCCATAGGAATTAGAAACATCAGTTTAAAAAAAGGAATGTTCTTAGTGTCTTAATATTACTAGAATGGAGAAAATGTTCTTTTTCTTAATTACATTTGGTAAATTCCTACCTAATTTTTTACAGTTTGCAAATCCCTCTGTTTCATTGTTCTTCTTTTCTCCTTCTGGTTTATTTAAAAATATTCTAAAAATAATTTTAAAAAATTATCTGAAAGTTGCAGAGAAAACCCCAAAGTGCACAGTAGCTTCATATTTCATTTTCGGCCAACCCGCTCAGAATATCCAGAATATAGAGACAGGAGCAGGTAAGGGAGACAAATTCCCTCTTCTTAATTCTTCTGTGGTCTCCCCAACTTGTGCGGCGGAAAACATCCTGTTTGTGCATAAGATAAAGTCACCGGGAGCAAAAACAGGTCAGTAAATCTTGAGCGGGATTCGGTAGACGAAGAGTTCTGTTGAGGCTGGTGGCTGACAGTCCTGTCGATGTCACAGAGTCAGCAAGGGAACTGAGGCAGGCTGGATGACAGTTTAAGGCAATCAGTGAGCAGCAAAGCACGGGGGGAGGGGGGTCTCAGACATTCGGGGATCCCTGATTTTCTGACACAGTTTCCGTTCCACGTGGCAAGAGGGATTCTAGAGACAGTTGCCTTTGGCATCGCCAAAAGAGGCAAATAAGCAAGTAAGACTTTGAGACAGACAGGCTTTGCCAGCCGGAAGCTTGCCCATTTTCATCCCGGGAAAGGGGATGAAAATGTACTGTATCAAAGGACAGATCTTTCGGTGGCTTTTGAAGCAGAGCCTCCCCACAAAAGCATAGTGTACCTCAGCCAACGGCAGAGAACTCCACTGTCTTTGGACAGGGCAGATCCCTGAGGCAAGCCAAATGCTAAGCTTCCGTGGATTTTGCTGTGACCTGGTGAGGAGGGGGAGAGGGATCCCCTCGACCCCATCGTACCCTGGGGGTCCAAAGCATTCTGCCACCCCAGAGGCCAGCAAGCCCCATTGCCTCCAGTAGCCCTAAACCAGAGAGCAGGCAGCCGATTCCCACACAAGCTTGGCCTCTACGTCTCTCCTGCATCCTCAACCAAATGGCGGTGGGGGCACGGGGCCCCTTTTTATAAAACTGTGGGGCTCCAGGGACCGATACCCACATCGTTGAAACTCTGGCAGCCTGCTGACTTCCCGAGCATGAATCCCACTCCCCAAAGAAGGGGTGCCCACCCCTGCCACCCCCCCGGGGCTGATAGGAGGGCGGGGGGGAAGCTCCCGGGAGATGCCATCTTCATCAAGCGTGGTTGATTTCCAGCGCCCTGGTCTGTCCCTCCAACTCTTGGAACGTCTGCTCCGATTTCTTATCCGGGAGTAAAACCTCCACCGTGTAGCTGATTTTCTTGGCATAGACGTAGCTGTAGGTATTGTCAAAACGCAGGACGTCTGCAGGGGCAGAAGAAAGAGACTGTCACCCAGGGCCAGCTGTTGCATTTTAAGATGGGCTATCGCCCAAATCTTTTAAATAAACCTACTGATAAACAGAAATAAACCTCCTGATTTATTAGCATAAGACGCCCCCAATATAAGGGCAAGAAAGAACTTTAAATAATGAAATATGCAAGGGGAGAGAAAGCAAACAGTTTTCGGCAGAGGCTACTCACAGATGCCAGCATCTGGGCAGGTGAGGCTGCCATCTTCAGGGACCAGGTGTGCGTTGTAGCGCTGGTTGGGATATACCTCAGCCATCTCCCCAGCGTGCTGGCGGGCCCCCACTTTGGTCTTCAGGTAGATGCCAAAGCCTATATCGGCACCATCGGACATAAACTGCCACCTTGAATTCACAGCAGAAAACAAACCCAACAAGCACATTTCAATAGGAGAGCCCAATTTTTTTTTTGTCTCTCTGTATTTTCATAACTATCCCATTAACTATGTCATTAATGTAGTAGGTAAATGACAGCTTAATCATCTGCAAATAGAATTGGTAGTTTAAAAATGGTTTGGGCCCGTTTCGCAAGGGGTGGGAAACCAATACTGATAATGTATTTATCAGTATTCAGTTGGGGAGGGGGGATAATATGTTATCCCCGCCCCTGATATGTGTTAGTGTTTTTTTAATGCACGTTTTTAAATGCCTTGCTTGTTTTGCATTTTGTTTGTGTTAAAAAAATATGTGGAGTTTTAACTTTTTTTTAAAATAAAATAATAATAGGCTGGGGGAAAAAAGAAGAATCTGGATTCAGAATCTGGCCAGCCCTGGACTTCCCTGGGTGCCCCTGACCTGCCACTTCTCCGCCAGCCTACCTGGCAGGTGTAAAAGGTATGAAGTGAAGGTGCAAGGAGGACCAGCGTGTCCATCTCACCGAGCTCTTTGAAGGCTTCTAAAGCTTCTGTCCTATCCCCCCCCCGCTGCCAAGTTGCCCCTTGACCTACCTCAGGACGCAGCCTGGAAAGAGGATCTCGTATTCCAGCTGCTGGGAAGACCCCCGATTCACCATTACGGAATGCTCATACTGTTGCTTCAGCTGATCTTGCACGTAGTATGTTTTGGGCACGTCACCACCAAAGCATATCTAGAACACAGAACGTTATCTGTGAAATGGAGAGCATGAAATCCTATCTCAATTGTTTTTTTTCAACCTCGGCAATTTTAAGATTTTAAGACCTCAATGCCCAGAATTCCCCAGCCTGGTATTCTGGGAGTTGAAGTCCATCCATCTTAAGAATGGCCAAGTCTGAAGAACTGACCTATCCCGTCGTTCCCCTGACGTCCCTCATATGGCCTATTCCAGAACGTTTAGCAGCCACGCTTTCCAACTGCCAGGGGCTAATTTTGCAAAGGTTTCTGGTTTTAGGGTAGCCGATAAATATTCAATACCTTGGATTCACATTTGGGGTTTCCATCAGGGTCCGTGAGGGCCCCCCCATATATCATGGGAATCTCCGCGGGGTCAATATATTTCTGCAAGTCTTCCTTCCAATTTGCTGGAAAAATGTAAAAAAAAAGATGCTCTTTTTAATAGGTAACTTGCTTTTGGCTGCTGTATAACTCCAAAACATTTTGAACATTTACATAATGAAGAACCAAAACATTAAAAAAATGCAGGCAGTGAAGTTTGGAAATGCATAAAGGGACAATTGTAATCTTAGCTGACATAGCAAGATTTAAATCTTCGTATTTAGAGCATTGTTTTAGACAGAAAAGACCTGCTAGGAACTACATTGTTAATGTAAGTTTTAAAAAGGTCATAAAAGGTCTTTTCCTTTTGTCTGAGTTTTGCTGAATCCATCCCCCCCTTTTTTTTTCTGCTAGCAATCAAAGAATCAATAACAACGCAACCTACCTCCTAGAATAATTAACTTTTTGCGAGTGTCTTCACTCAGAATGTGCTTCACCATGTTGTAAGCTACGGGGAATAGTTTCGGAGCTGTATTATGTGCAGGAAAAACAAAGGAGGATTATGTCAAGAGATAAATGACATTTTTTTTCTCCAAACCAAATGCATGCTCCAACAAGGGAAGGACTGAAGCTCACCTTTAATGACAAATAAATATTTAAGGCTCTCAGGGAAGTTATCTTCGAACATGCCAAGAAGCTGGAAGTGTGGACAAAGAATTAAATTGCAATGCTTTATAGTATGGTAGATCATGATTTAAACCTAACACATCCTAACAGCAGGATCCAAAACCAAATTGGGACATTCAGGATACAGTGAATGTCCCCTTGAAGCGGTGTGGACTTCAACTCCCAGAATTCCTCAGCCAGCATGTTTTAAGATATGTAGACTTCAATTCATCAACCAGACTGTTTTAAGAGTGTTTCTCGACCTTAGTCACTCTAAGCTGGCTGGCTGGCTGGGGAATTCTGGGAGTTGAAGTCCACACACAGGTCGAGAAATACTGTTTTAAGAAATGTGGACTTCAACTCACAGAATTCCTCAAACAGAAGCTTTACGATATGTGGACTTCAACCCCCAGAATGTGTGGCTAATGTTGAAAAATTATGTTGATAATCAAGAAAAATTCTCCATGCAGGAGACCCAAACCTCTTCGCCCATCTCACCTCTATGTAGACTTCAACAGCTGGCTTCCAGAGATGCTTCAAACCAAGCCCCTCAAAGTCATAAATCATGACGATAGTTTCAACTCTTCTCCCCAGCTTAAGAAAAAGAGGGGAAGGGGGAAGAAAGAGAGATTGGGGGGTGGTGGAATTAAAGACATCAAATAGGAACAGCAGCAATCACATTTTTATCCCTAAAGCTTTGAACAGAATAACAGAGTTGGAAGGGACCTTGGAGGTCTTCTAGTCCAGCCCCCTGCTCAAGCAGGAGAACCTAGACCATTTCAGACAAGTGATTGTCCAATCTCTTCTTAAAAACCTCTAGTGATGGAGCACCCACAACATCTAGAGGCAAGCGATTCCACTGATTAATTCTCACTGTCAGGATATTTCTCCTTAATTCCAGGTTGGTTATCTCCTTGGTTAGTTTTCATCCATTGTTTCTTGTCTTATTTTCTGGCATTTTGGAAAGTTGGTTGACCCCCTCTTCTTTGCGCAGCCCTTTAGATACTGGAACACTGCTATCGCGTCAACCCTATTCTTTTCCTCATCAGACTACTAGACACATCCAGTTCCTGCAACCCTTCCACATATGTTTCAGCCTCCAAAGGCCTTTTGATCAGGAACCCTGGAATTTTTTATTCAATTTTACTTTACACTGAACAGGTTCCATGGCCTGCAAAAAAAAAAAAAAAATTCAGAACGTCTGGATCACAGCCTCTGGTCCTGTCTTACTTTTTGGGTCTGTTCGTCGCAGATGTCCCGCAGATACTCGCAGTCCTGAAATTTATTTTTGAGCAGATCCTGTTTTGAAGCAGAGTAGAGCAACCCTTTGGGGTCAAGGGTCCCAATGATCTCGTACTGAACCGGGCAGCCCTCCCGATCAAATCCACATGTCCCTCCAGCCATGTACTTCTGGATAACCTGCGAGCAAGCAGAGAAGGGCCAGTCTCCAAGTGATGGGCCTAACCAAACAATGCCGAAAAACATCTGACCCAGTTAACAGGACGGCAACACTTTTGAGGCAACCAAGATGGTGCACCATGGAAGCCGAGAGACGGGGGAGAGCCGGCATCCCTTGAGATCACCTGAGACTCACCTCTGGGGCTTTCCATTCCTTAATGTGGTCAGAATCGATATACTTGCGCAGCTGCACATGCTGTTCGCCAAGAAAACAAGAGAGAGCAAGCCACATAAGTGGGGAGAAAGAGAACTTTGACGTCAGCCTCACTACAGGTATTCCTCGGGTTACCGTCCTAGTGGAGCCTGCCTCTTACGACTGTTAAGTCGTAATGTCGTAAAGCAGTGTATCTTTCTTGGTTTGGGGAACAAAACAAACAAACACATCCAGGCTAGTCTAGAAATAAGCCGAGCGAGTTGCCTCTTACCTTCCTGAGCATAGCTTCAGACTTCTGCAGGTCAAAACACCGGGCTGAAAGAAGATGACGGTGGTTAAGAATAAAAGGCCACCCTGGACCATGCTAGAGACACCGATGTGGCATTGTTGTGAGAGTTCCCGCCCCTTTCAGTAGGAAGAGTTCTTCCACTGATCAAGTCCGGCAACTAGATTTGAATCCAGGTCCAACAGAGCCATCATTTGCCACTTTTATTTACCTTTTGTTGAGCTTCCCCTTGGCTCACTTCAATCCCCTTAAAAGGCAGCTTTGTCCAGAATCACTCAGGCTAGTGAGACAGGCAGCATATACTGTAAACCCCCCAGGCAGCAAACTCAGCCAGATTCGAAGGATACTTTGCCTTTTGAATGATAACATCTCTTGTCCTTTTGTACAGTTGCATAACCGTGATTTGAAAAACCACAATTACCTGGCTCATGCGCTAATTAAAATGAAACCTAGATTGCAACTGAGGATCGTGTCCAAAGATCTGTTTTTAATTGCACTCTGGGGCAGACAAGTGACTCCATTTAACAGCCTAAAAGCTTCTCTCCTGTCCCAAGTTTGCCTGGGCTTGTGGTGGTCTGCAACTGACAGTTCTTATCACCATTCAGAAATGCAAGGCCACTTGGCTCCTTGTCCAGAATGGGTTGTCTGAAATGAAATGGGCAGGTCTGGTTTTGTTTAAGACGAGCCTTTTCCAACCCAATTCCTTCACCTCCAGTTTCTCAGTCTCCGTTAGTCAATCCAAGATTGCCATCCCCAAACTGCAGGCTGAAACATTTCCACACTTCTTAAGAACTCAAGGAATGTCTTTGACTTCTCAGTTTCTCCCAACTTCCATCCAGGGACGAATCTGACCCTAACCTATTGATTGATTGATTCTTGTAAATTCGCAGGATTCTTTTTTCTCTCTATGTAGGTGTATACATCCGAATTAGACTGTGTTGTTTCTCTGTGTCATATATGTGGGTATGTGCATAATCTTTTGTCATGTTTGTGTAGTGTATATTGGAGTTGGTTACCCTTTGAGGGCTGAATGGGTTGAGGCACGGGGGTGAGGACCCCAGCTCTAAGTGTTTTCCATTAAGTGGTCCTGCTTTGACATCTGGATCATCTTTGTAACTTCCTACTACTGCAGTTTCCATGCACAATTGATCCTGTGCCCTTAGAAGTACTCTCTAGCCACGGAAAATACACCCAGCTTGCTACAGACATGATGCAAATTTCTTTCTTACCTCGGAGCCATTTCAACAAGTAGTAATCATCCTGAGCCGGAAGACCTGGTAAGATATCTTGGATATTCTCACGGAACTATAGAACGGGGGGGGAAAAATGGGGGAGGTGATTTACATTCAATTGCAATCTTTCAATTCTTGCTCAAGCCTCTTAATGTCTTCATGGAAATCAGTCAAAATAAAATAGTGGTTAGATTTACACGGCAGATCAGGCTATCCTGAAGGTACTGTATATAATTCATTTATAATTCACGGTGAAGGGAAAGTCAAAGAAAACTGCCAGCGATTGGAAGGTTGGGAAGCAAAGGGCATACTTTTCAATGGGAGGGACTTCAACTCCCAGGAGCCCTGGCAGCACAGTGGTTAGAATGCAGTATTGCAGGCTAATTCTGCCGACTGCCAGCAGTTCAATCCCGGCTCAAGGTTGACTCAGCCTTCCATTCTTCCGAGGTCGGTAAAATGAGGACCCAGATTGTTGGGGGAAGAGGCTGACTCTGTAAACCGCCTAGAGAGGGCTGTAAAGCACTATGAAGCGGTATATAAATCTAGGTGCTATTGCTATCTCCTGGTGATTGTCCGAAGTCACGCACTATGATGCCTAAGGTGGGACTAGAACTCACCATCTCTTGGTTTCCAGCCTGGTGTTTTCACTACTAAACCACTGGTCTACTGGACGCTGTAGTCACGAAGGAATATGAGCATACATGAACTAATCCTTCGTGACGTGAAGCTGCATGTGTGAATGCAGCCCAGGGATTGTGGAATGGGAGTGAACCTGGATATCAAAATACACTTAATCCGATTTAATCACACCCATAATTGCTATGGAAAACATCCCACGTTAAATGAGGTTAATCTAGTTCAGAGACCTCTTGGTTTCATCTTATCACACAAGATCTTTACAAGGTCATAATCTTCTAGATGCAGGCAAACATTGTGATACCTTGATACTATACATTTCTTCTAATGCCACCTATTACGAAAACAGTTAATAAGCCTGTACATTAAAAAGGGAGTGTCTCAATGCCAGCAGGAACCAACTGATCAATAAAAATTAGGTCAGGAGAAACGATGTGGAAGCACCAATTGCTAAACCAATGGCATAAACCTGATACTTCAATGCCCATCAGATGAAAAGGATAACCAGCGAATCTCACACACCACTTGGGAAAAGAGACAATTTGGAGGCATAACTGCACCCTCAAACAGAAGCCACATAGATAAGTGAGATCAGTGTTCTGCAGCCCTGGCAATTAAGAAGTGTGGATTTCACCTCTAGGCTAGCTGGGCGTACAGTAGTTCACACGACTTAGTTGCCAAGCTTTGAGAAACACGGAGTTGAGTAATCTCGTAAGCTGAAATGCAACGAATTCTCTTCTGGTTAAGAACAGCTGTTGGAAAGAGACAGAAGCAGGCAGGGAAAAAAAAAAAAGAGCCAACCTCAGCAAAACGCATTTTGCAAAGGTCTCTCCAGAGTGCAAAGGTTGGGGCAGCCGAGAACCATCCTTTCCAATCAACCAGGCTGAACGGAAGGGTCAATAACCTGGACTAAATTCTTGACACACACACAGAGACACACAAAGATTTCCGGCTTCCCCGAAGTCAGGTAGAGTAGAAACGTGCCTGGATATCCATTTTCCTTCTAGAAGCCATGCACAAAATAGGGGAAATAAAAGAATGCTTTTTTTTATAAAAAAAAAATACTTTTTATTTTGATGTGAAAAGATTTGTTTCTTTTTAAAAAAATAAAGCATATCATTACAGATGCTGCTGGCTGGGGAATTCTGGGAGATGAAGTCCACATCTCGTAAAGTGGCTAAGGTTGTAACCTGAGGGGCACCCAATAAATTGATTCCCCCAAACTTCTTTGCCTTTTCAACCCCTTTTTGGCTCAACAGCATCTAATGGATCAGAGAATGCTCTTGAGTAGAAATCCTCCCGTTCAGAAAATGCAGACGTCGAACAGAAAACGAGCTCACAAGCTTTCTCCATGAGCAGCTAGTTCTCTACATGCAAGGCATTGAATGGCAGGAGAGCAGACCTCCGCAACGCAGCCCAATATGCACGTTAGCATAGGATGAACAGACAGCTAATGCCAGTCTTACTAGGTGGAGCAGATCTGAAAACCAACCCCACCGGAAGACTAAAACTACTTTGATTAAGAGGGGCTATAATAACAGAATCTTGCAAATCTCATTGTGCTTTTCTCTCCTCCCCCCCTTATACTCCTTTGAATGAGGGAGGGCAGTCTTTCTGATCCACTATCTGGATGTTCCGGACTTCGCCCCTTTTTGGTTCCTCCATATCTCCATCAAGATCACCTTCTTTATCCTCACAACTTTGTTAACCTCAAACAACTTTGTCACAATGCCAACAGGAAGCTGAAAGAGCCACGCTGTCCCTATCCTTTCATGGCAATGGGGATTGCTAAGTGGGCAAAACAGCCACAACTACGTTGTCGTTGTGAAACGGGCCTTGCGCCCTGCCTTGCTCGCTGTCAAACCCAGCAAGGGAGAAAATGGCGAGCAAATCCATCGGTCTCCTTCGTTTCGTTCTTAAGAGGCACCACAACGGCCAGATTGAGCAATGAAGTGTGTAGACGCAGTTGCCCCTGGTTGCCAAGTCCCAGGATAGCTCACTTTTCTCTGCCCAGTTGCCCAGGCAATCCCATTCCCTGGGCAGAGATGCCAATTCCTGCATGGCAGGTACCCGGGGGCAAAGGCAGGGTGATATACCTGTACAGGGAGTTCTCACAACTACAATTGTGGCCACAAATCTCCATTGTTAAGCAAGACAGTTGTTAAGGGAGTTTCCCCCTATTTTACTACCTTCCTTGCCCCAGTGGTTAAGTGACTCCCTGCACATGTTAAGTTAGATACACGGTTGTTAAGTGACTCTGGCTTCTCCACTGACTTTGCTAGTCAAAAGGTGGCAAAGGGGATCAGGTGACCCCCCAGGACATTGCAACTGTTATAAGTACAAGCCAGTTGCCAAATGTCCAAATTCTGATCAAAGATGGCTTCTTTAAAGATGGCATGTTATGTTAACACAACCATTGTGGCGTGTGTCCTCTGTCCTTAGCGCTTAGCAACTAAGCTGAATCCACTTCTGGGCTTTAGTGCAAATCTCACTGTAATCCCTTCAAATATGAAAGCTGAGAGGCAGGTGCCTCAAGACGGATGGATCAGCTGCCTGGAGAACCTTAAGTAGGCAGGCAAAACCTTTAAGTTTTTAATCCAAAACTTTAAAAATACACACCCGTAAGGGTAGATTTCCTAGAATTCATATAACAGCCGTGCTCACACAACAGACTGAAAGAGCCGTGTGTTACCTAACGAATTAAGCCCAGTTATCTGGATTCTGCATGAACCCAAGCTGATTTTTTTTTAAAACCACACAAGGTTAAACTGTGGTTGCCCATTTTTGTGGATCACAGAGTTGTGCAGATTCTCTTGAAGGTGTCTCAACAGAAACAATGGAAGCTGCACTGTCAGAGAGAGAGAGAGAGAGAGAGAGACTGCAGAATAGGATAGAACAGAGTCTTAGAGGAAGATAGCGACTGTACGCGGCTAACCAGGATTAAGGCGAAACATGTTGTGTGAATCCAACTGCTTCCACCCTGGAAAAAAAAACCCAGGATGCTTAAAGGGCAAAACACCCTGGCACTGGAGTGTGCAATCTCATTTCCTCATTTACAGGAGCAAAGGAAGCTGAGTGCCAGCAAATTACTGTCTACTGGGGCAGCCACTGACTTTAGAAACACCACCCCAAAATGAAGGAGTTAGTTTCAACACATTAGGGAGATTCTCTTGGTATGCAGACATGAATCTGTTTATCCATTTTTAAAATCCCCAAATGGGCCTTTGGGAACGTACAGGTAGATATATACTTTCTTTGGAGAGCAGACAACAGACTTTCATTTCTAATGCGGGCCAGTGTGCTCACAGTAAAAAAACAACAATAAAGGTTATCTTATCTAAGAGTAATCAATTTGCACCCTGCCTTAGGCGTGATTAAGTGAAGCATGCACAAAGATGCAGGATGAGCATATTCCTGCAAGGGAAGGGCAATCTTTTGCAGCCAGACACGGGTCTTTCCCAATTCCCTTCCTTTCTTTAAAAAAAAAGAGAGAGTTGGGAGAGAGTCCAAGCCAAGATTTGCATCAAAGCGTCTCATGATAAAGAATCTCAAGACTCACAGGCAATTACTTTACAGCAATCTCAAAGTGGAGCTGCTTCATTGCGCCAATCCCTTTTGTCCACCCTTTGAAGATGTGGAAAAAGGGTGCTTTCTAGAACCATGCCTAGAATTACGTAGGAATCACTCTTGGAAACCAAAGACCTTTAACCCCTATCTTGCCCACTGTCCAAGCCTGATGTGAGCTGCCTGCTCGGTGAATGACTTGCTCGGTGCCAGGTGCCAGATGCTCACCGCCAGAGAGGTGTCTAACTACAACTACCACGCCGGCTGAGAGTAATGGGGCTTTACCACCCTCCTGAGACCCAGCCCCGGGCTGCTGGAGAGCGCTTCCCTCTTACCTACAGGCAAGTCCCGGATCCGTCTTCACTCCTGCCCCCTCCCCTGCGCTTCAAAGCAAGAACCCTGCGAGGGAGACCCATAAGAGTTTCTGCACTGCAGGATCCAATCTGAGTCGGTCGTCGGACTCTCCAGAATGTGTGCGCTGCAAATGGGATCCAGCAACAAGCCCGAAAACTTGGAAGAATAAAACTCGGGTCCAAGCGACCAACTCAGATTGGATCCTGCAACATTATTAACCCGGGGACACGTATTCACCTCCCTTCGTGAGTTACTAGGCAACCCTTTGTCTGAAATGAGACAGGCTTTTCTGCCTGAGCAGGAGGCAGGACTAGAAGACCTCCAAGGTCCCTTTCAACTCTGTTATCCTATCCTATCCTACTGTACTATCCGCGGTCCCGATCCCCGGAGAGGCGAGGGGAAACTTGCGCGCGAAGGATCAAGCTGCGCAGCGCTGCCCGGAGGCGCGGAGAGCGCTGTGGGCAAGGGCGCTGGCGAGGGTCCCCGGCATGAAGCCGGCTTGGTGAGTTAGCAGATCGAGAGAAGCCCCGATGCAGCCCCGCCAGCCGCTCCTAAGGCTACCCCTGGCTGGGGCTGAGCGGCTCTGGAGTCCCGGAGGCTTTGCGTAAAGAGCCTTTGCGCGCCTGGCTCGGGCAAAGCGAAGGGCTCTCGGTGCGCGGACCCCGGGCGGGCAGGCGGATGGGGAGGGCGCGATTGGAGGTGGGTGGGTGGGCTTCTTCTCTGCCAGGGAGGGGAAGGCAGGGCAGGGGCTCCACTCACCTGGGCCAGCGCCGCCTCCTGCTTGGCGCTTAGGTCGCCGACGTGCCCGCTCATGGTCACCGCGCCAGCTGGCTTCGGGCTCCCGGGTCCCGTCGGCTTTCAGCGGCAGCCAGTGGGCGGATCACGCCCCCTCCCCTCCTCCCCCCTCCCCGGAGAAACGCCCCGCGCCCTCGGGAGCAGGAGCAGGAGGAGGAGGAGGAGGAGCTTCAGGGGCTGGGGAACTCCCACGAGGCATCCTTGGTGCGCTCTGAGCTGGCTTGTTTTCCAGCAGACGTTTCATGACCCAAACTAGGTAACATCATCAGTGCTAGAAGAGAATGGGGAGGAGGAGGAGAGGGAGGAGGAGGACTATGGGGTCCTGGATGCTCTCTGAGCTTGCTTGTTTTCTTGCAGACGTTTCATGACCGAACTGGGTAACATCATCAATTCTAGCGCAATGCAGTACTAGCTCTGATGATGTCACCTAGTTGGGTCATGAAACGTCTGCAAGAAACCGAGCAAGCGCAGAGAGCACCAAGCACCCCTCATGTCAACCCTGAGCTACCAATATTCTCCTTTTTTAGGACTACTATTCCCAGCAGCCCTGCCAGCAGTGCCAATGGGGGAAGAATTTTGGGAGTCGCAGTTAAAGTAACTGGCTCCTGGACTGAGAGGGACGGGCTCACAGGCAGGGAGGAATGGGATGGGGGGCTGCAAGAATCCATAAATGACTCAGCTCGGAGAAGCCGAGGCTGTCCCACCCTGATGCCCGTCTCCAGCTATCCTGCACAGATGGATGGAAGATGTGTCATCCTGTTGTAATCAGCTCCTAGCAACCCCACAGACAGGTATTCCCCAGGAGGAGCTGTCCCTAGCCTGGTCCTTCAGATCTTCCAACGGTGCCCCCCTCACCCCTGACACTGAGTCCTTCCACCTAGGTCATCCTCTTCTCCTTTTTCCCTTCCTTCCACTTTTCCTAGCATCAGAGCTTTTCCAGAGAGCTAAGTCATCGCCTAAGGTTTGAAATAGGTACTGCCGCTCCCATGATCCCCAGCAAGGATTCAGGGAAATTGTAGCCCATCCAGGAGCCTCCGAATTAGATAATGGGGCCGATAGGAAGAAATGCTTTTTGCCAGCTTTCAAGGAACTTTGTTTGATCTGCTTGGATGTCATCCTGAGGTGAAAAGCTGGCAAGGTTATGCCCAGGGCTGGGTAGGCAGGAGGAGAGGCGGAAACTTTGTGACTGGAAGACGTTGGAGGCAAAAAAAAGAAGAACATAATAGACGTTCTGGCTGGGCAACTTTGCAGGCTGGATCAAGTTGCATTCCATCCAGCTCTTCTTACATAACCTGACCCCCTGAGTGTTGACATAGCATTTGGAGCGGTGTTTCTCAAGCTTGGCAAGTTGAACATGGGTGGACTTCAACTCCCAGAATTCCCCAGCCAGTCAGATCCCACAAGAACAGAACAGGAAACTATGTTCGGTGTTGTTGCTAAGAGAATCTCCACAGATATTACTGGAATATTGGCTAGGAATCCCCCAGGAGCTGAACTGAACAAAAAGGCTGCCCTATCTTAAAGCACCTGAAAACATATGGGCTGATTTTTCAGCTTTTTTTTTTTTTTGGTTTTGTCTTGATCCCTTGCACCCATGTACTTTCACACACACACCCTTGAAAACTCCCAGCCGCCTAAATTCTTCTTCTCGGTCCTTAAATCCTTTAACCTTCCCTTTTTTTTCCTTTTGCCAAATTGCAAAAAAGAAAAAAAAACTCTTTCACAACATCCCGATAGGCCACAGTTCTGAATGGGAAGCCGGGAGTTGACGTCCTATAGATCAAGAGAATTTCCATCTGGGTTTCTGGTCATACCAGTTCTGCTGAAATCTGAGAAAACTTCAAATTGAAAAAGACTTTTTCTTCTTTTTTTTTAAAAAAAGTGTGTCTAGGGGGGGCAGCCTGTTATGCAACCGCAGGGTGTTAATCTGTTTAAGCGCCTTCCGTTAAGTGTCAGGCCAGTGATTAACAATGGGCAGTTGTTCGTCCCTAGGATTCAACTGGCCTTGCAGGCATGGTGTGATGTTTGGATGGTAACAATAAAAGCAAAGACAGGCTGGGTAAGGAGATGTGACTACAGATCATCTCACCGACAGGTACAGCAAAATCACAAATGGGAACACAGATAAGAGCGTGTGGCAAAAAACCCGATATATTGGCATTTATGCAAAATATACAGATTTGATGCTTGTAATTACTGTTGAAAATGCCCTATTGAACCACGTGAAAATGTTGTTTTCCATAAAACGTAACCTCACAGCACCTTGTTGAAAGAAATTTTTCACTTACAACTGTCCACTTACAACTGTTCGCTTAGCAATGGTTCAAAGTTACAATGGCATGAAAAAAGGGACTGATGTCCATTTTTCACAGCTACAACTTTTGTAGCATCCCCATGACTGTGTGATCAAAATTCAGAGGTCTTCTAGTCCAGCCCCCAGTTCAAGCAGGAGACCCTATACTATTTCAGACCAATGGCCATCCAGTCTCTCCTTAAAAACCTCCAGTGATGAAGCACCCACCACTTTTGGTGGCAAGTTGTTCCACTGGTTAATTGTCCTCACTGTTGGGAAGCTTCTCCTCAAATCCAGGTTGCTTCTCTCCTTGATTAGTTCCCATCCATTGCTTCTTGTCTTTCTTTCTGGGGAGATCTGGTTAGGGAAAATCTGGAAGTTGAAGTCCACCCAGACTGACAAACACAGGTCAGGATGCTTGCAAAAATTGGGGAAGGCAGAGGAATTTAGCAAACAAATCCTCCCCCTCTCGTCTTCTTGAGATCTGATAGCAAAGCATTCCAGAGTCATAATGGAAGGAGAGAAAGATAAACAAAGCAAAAAAAAGCCCAGTAGGAAAGTGAAAAAAAAAAGAAGCTTTTTTGTTCTGCTGCTCTTAGAATGTGTGTGTCAATTGTTGCAGATAATGGAGGAATTCTTTTACCCTGCTTTCAACTTTGCATCTCTCTGCAGAGAAGTCAGTGCCGAATATTTCCACTCAAGCACCTATGAAAATTTTCACTGATTTTCAGTTGTTATCTGACCATCGCCCACGATACTAAATTAAAGGAGAAGATATTTGCAATGAACTTGGGTGACTTTCATCTTGAGGAATAGCTGAAGGATTACAGGGCACTCAAGTGAAGAAACCCAGTATCACCTTTTGAAAGTGAGTTTCAAAATCACGTTAAGCAGATCAGGAGTTATTAGAACCAGCGAAGCCTTGGCGTTTCCCACACACTTGTTAATAATACAAGTATCACGCTAATTAGTTTTATAATCTTCCTAATCCTGGTCTTGTTGTTCCTGGCAGCAGCCTTAACCATTTGCAGGCCTCTGGGGTGGGTGAGCTGTGTAAACAAGATGTTGGGCAATCAGATTCATGCTCCGGGCAGACTCCACCCTAATGAGTTCGATTACAGGAGCTCCGATTCCCAGTTTCAGTGTATCAAATGATCTGGACTGTTTCGCCAGCTTTATGGCTCAAGAGCTGTATCAAACTTCACTCATTCCTTGCCCTGCTCGGGAATGTTTGCTGGCTGCAACCGATTAAGTTTTTTTTAAAACAACAACAACCACTGTCCTTTCCTTTCTCACCCTTCTTAAAATTCGGGCACAAGGGATTATTACCCTGCTAGGATTTCTGCTTTTGCAGCTTGAAGAGGCAAAAGGGAGCTGCAAAGCAGGTTAGGGCTCACACACACACACACACCTTGCCCGTTCACGTTGCTAACACAACACACACAGGTAGTCCTCAACTTAAATGAATTTGGCTTCCCCATTGACTTTGCTTGTCAGAAAGTCGCTAAAGGGGGATGACGTGACCCAAGGATGCTGCAACCGTCCTAAGTACACGCCAGTTGCTGAGCCTCGTGGGATCATGGGGATGCTGCAAGTGTTGTGTGAAAAGCAGTCATTAAGTCACTTTTTTCAGTGCCGTTGTAACTTCAGTCACTAAACAAACGGCATTTGTCTCCTGGTGTCTAAAAGAAAACGAGGTTTTTTGAAAGAGGGACAAGGCATGGCTTAGCTGAGCAACTGTCTTCAGCCACAAAATTGTCCCCTACCAGCCACCATAGAACATGCGGAGCTTCCTTCTGCAACCCCAGGCAAGACCACTAGAGGGCATCTCAGCCCACCAGCTCTTCCCTGGCTGGAGCCTTCTGGGAGTTGAAGTCCAGACATTTTAAAGTTGCTAAGACCTCCTAGAATGATGCTCCTTGTAGAAGTGACACCAGGTGTAAAAGGGACGCATCTGGAGGGCAACAACTGGGTTTGCCTCCTGAGTTTTGCAAGATTTATCTTTATGTTTGCAACACTGTAAATAGTCCCCAACTTATAACCATTCCTTTAGTGGCCGTTTGAAGTTACAACTGCGCTGAAAAAAGTAACTCGTGACCAGTCCTTGCACTTACGACCACGGCAGTGTCCCCAAAGCTGCATGATCAAAATTCGGGCCCTTGGCATGGATATATGATGGTGGCAACACACAAGGGTCCTGCGATCAGCGTTCGAGACTTTCGCTGCCAGCTTCCCAAGGGGCGACTATGCGGTGGGAACCCAACCGTTGCTGTTGCCTCCAGTTAAACCAGCCCAAAGTAGCACGTTATGTGCCTGGCGCAAATGTGGCACTCACAACAAACCCCGGCTAAGAGGCAGCTTTGTGGGAGCAGAGCCAGCATGCATTAAACCATGGTCTAGACCCTCTTGCGCGTACACCTCTGCAACAAACCCTGGCTAAGAGGGGGTTTAATGGGAGCAGAGCCGCTTGGGCTTAGCCCCTCTCCTGTGCACGCAACAGGTGCAGCTCTGCAACAAACCCTGGCTTAGTGGGACCTCAGCCACCCCGCATCCGGCCCCCGAAGCAAGCCACGGCTTGGCCTGCGCGTGCAGCGGGCGCAGCTCTCCAGCGAAGGCGGCCAAGAGGCGGCTCGGCGGGAGCGCGGCCAGCCGGGGCTCCGCCGGCAGCAGATGCGGCGGGGCTGCCGGCGGGCGGGAGGCAGGGCTGCCGGCGGGCGGAGGGGCGGCCCGAGGGAGGCGGTTGGGCGAAGGCGCGCGGCGGCGAGGGCGATGGCGGGCCGGGCGGCGCCGGGNCTGGGCGGGCTGGTGGCGGCGGCCGAGGCTTCCTCGCCGGGCTCCCCGGCGGCGCAGGTGGAGGTGACGCTGCGCGGAGGGGCCGAGCCGGGCCGGGGCTGCACCCTGCAGGGCGCGCTGCTGGGCCGGGCCGGCTTGGAGCTCCAGCCGACGGCGGCGGCGGCGGTGCGGGGCAGCCTGGTGCTGGTGAGCCTGCGGGACTCTGCGCGGGGGTGGCTGGCTGGGTGGCTGGGGAGCGTGGCCCTCCCGGACACCCGTGGACCGCCCCACCCGTGGCCTCTCGGTGAAGCAGCCCCCAAGCAGCCCCCTCCCCAGGCAGTCCCCAGGCACCCCCAGTCCCCAGACAGCCCCCTTCCCCCCAAGCAGCCCCTTCCCCAGGCAGCCCCCGCCCCAGACAGCCCCCTCTCCCAAGTAGCCCCCTCCCCAGGCAGTCCCCTTCCCCCCAAGCAGCCCCCTCCCCAGGCAGCCCTTTTCCCAGGCAACTGCGTCCCCCCAAGCATCCCCCCCTCCCCAGGATTTCACCTGAGTGAATGGCGCTCACCTTGCCTTCCCTTCTTTCCCAGGTGAATGACACTGACCCCAGACTGGAGGATGAGGACACCTGGATTGGCGTGGTGCCCGTGGAGGGGGAACAAGCAGAGGTCCCAAAGCACCACAAAGAGGAGTCTTTTGCCAGAGCTGTGGTCAACAAGGTACCCCTTTCCCCTTGACCTGACTTCCGCCTGCTCGTTTCTCTCTTGATAGTCCCAAAGGCGCTTTTTTTCAAGAGGCAACTGGACTGTCTTGTTTTTCTTTGAAGACCTTTCGCTTCTCATCCCAGAAGCTGCTTCCGCTCTGACTGGAGGGTGGGGAAGGGAAGGATTTAGTAAGAGGTTCTGAAAAGGATTTAGTAAGAGGTTCCTTAATGCAGCTACTTGGGACAAATGGAGAAAATTGGAACCATATAATTGGGAAAGATGCCCATGTCTTCCCCATGCTGGCCTGGTTAATTCTGGGAGTTGAAGTCTGCAATTCTTAAAGTTGCCTGAATCTAGACCAGTATTTCTCAACCTTGGCAACTTGAAGATGGGTGGACCTCAGCTCAGCTCGCAAAGGATTGGGGACTTCTGGGAACTGAAGTCCAGACATCTGCTCTTAGAACCAAGGTCGCCGTCCTCTTCCTGCTTCTTAGTTTGGTGGTTTTTCTTCCTGCAGATGAAGCGGGCCCTTGTTTTGGGGGCTTCAGCCCTGCTCATCCTTGCCCTGAACCAGAACACAATCCGAGAGGTAGGTGTGGATGCTCTCGCAGGTGCTGGAGACATGATTGAGCCCCTGTGCCCACATCCCCACTGATGGGCTGTTCTTTGCCTTCTCCCTGCTGCAGCTGGATGTCGCCCAGGTCCTTTCAAAGCCCGTGGTGATTGTCCAGACGTCAGAAAACGTGACCAAACTCCTCGGGGCACTGCTGCGGTGAGCTGGCTGGGAACTGGGGAAAGGACTGGAGGCTGTGGGTGAACTCTTAGTTTTCTCTTAGGCTTCCGAAAGTCCGTTTGCGTTAAAAAAATAAATCACAGATCACGTTTCTTCAGAGCATCCCCAAACACCTGACTGTGTACAGCAGAGATCTCCAAATGGGGCCCCTTTGAGACTTGTGGACTTCAACTCCCAGGATTCCCCAGCCAGCATAGCTGACTGCGGAATTCTGGGAGTTGAAGTCCACAAGCCTTAAAAGTTTGGAATGCCTTGATATACAGCAGTGATGGCGAACCTTTTAGAGACCGAGTGCCCAAACTGCAACCCAAAACCCATTTATGCATCGTCAGGTGCCGGGTGGGTGTGGCCATTGGGTGGGTGTGGCCATTGGGTAGGTGTGACCATTGGGTGGGCGTGACTGAGGTGGTAACGGCAGACTGGGTGGGACTAAAACGTTCAATCAATCAATTCCAACTTTGCAAGATCTTTTTTTCCCGCAAGAAGTTGAAGTTGACTGATTGATTGAACCTTTTTTTTTTTTGCACATGGAGGCAGAGGCTTAAAGCGAAAAGGTTTTATAAAACCCAGCTGAAGGCCTAGGACTGGGGCGACAGCACGCGTGCCCACAGAGAGGACTCTGAGTGCCGCCTCTGGCACCCGTGCCATAGGTTCGCCACCACCTATCTTAAAAGTTGCCACGGCAGTGGAGCCAGGGATTCCCAGTGCAGCCTGTTCCCCACCTCACACCCACGGACTGCCCTTGTCTAACCCCATATTGGGAAAAGCCAACCTTATCCAGAAGGAAATCAACTGCATGGACGTGACCTCCTAATTCTTACCACGTCCTCTTTGATCCTTCGCGCTTACTCCATCAGAGGTGCCTGGATGGGGAGAGGGGTTGAATCTGGGAATTTTTTTAAGCTATTTCCCCAAGGACCACAAGGCAGAACAACAAACAATGGGTGGGAACTAACCAGGGAGAGAAGCAATCTGGAATTGAGAAACTTCCTAACAGTGAGAACAATTAACCAGTGGAACAGCTTGCCTCCAGAAGTTGTGGGTGCTTCATCACTGGAGTTTTGTTTTTTTAAAGAGACTGCACAGCCATTTGTCTGACATAGTATAGGGTCTCTTGCTTGAGCAGAATAAAAAGAACAAAAAAAAAAATTGATATTTTGGAAAAGTGCAGAGAAGAGCAATTAGGATGATTAAAGGCCTGGAAACTAAAACATATGAAGAAAGGTTGCAGGAACTGGGTATGTCTAGTCTTTTGAAAAGAAAGGGGTGACATGATAGCAGTCTTCCCGAATTTGAGGGGCTACCACAAAGAAGAGGGGGGTCAACCTATTTTCCAAAGCACCTGAAGGCAGGACAAGAAGCAACGGATGGAAACTAACCAAGGAGAGAAGCAACCTAGAACTAAGGAGAAATTTCCTGACAGTGAGGACAATGAACCAGTGGAATAAATTATCTTTAGAAGTAATGGGTGCTCCATCACTGGAGGCCTTTAAGAAGAGAGTGGACAGCCACTTGTCTGAAATGATATAGGCTCTCCTGCTTGAGCAGGGGGTTGGGCTAGACAACCTCAAAGGTTCCTCTCAACTCTGTTACTTATTCTTCTCTCTCCCTCTATTTTGCAGAGGTCTTCAGGCCACCGCAAAGATCACATACCAAGCAGGGCTGCTGGAGAACATGGTATGTGGCTGGCAAGGGAAGAGGGATGTGGTAACAATCCTGGGCAGGAAAGCTGGGCCATGTGATCCATTCATTGAAAACTGTTCTGTGGCAGTTTCATGACCACCCACCCTCCCATAGTTTACTGCGTCTCCTGCTTGAGCAGAGGGGGGTGGACTAGATGACCTACAAGGTCCCTTGCAGCGATGTGATTCTGTAAACCACTGCACTGGTTTCGTTGTCAATGTTGCCGGTTTTAGCCAGCTCTCCCTTTTCTCTTTCAAGGGGCTGACGCTGACCCTGTGGTCAACATGCGGCCTCTCGCGGGGTGGCGTGTACGCCGAGTGGCAGGGCGTTATCTGCACGGGAGAAAACAGCTCAAAGGTCCAGGTTGGTGAAGGAGCCAGATGTTCTGTTGAAATATATTGATTGGCAGGTCACTGCGGGTCATGAGAAGAAAGTTCTGAAGGCTACAGGTGATAATAGTAGAATACAGGCAAAACCTTGACTTAATGACCAGTTGGGACCCAGAATTCCCATTGCTAACTCAAGGCAGTTCTGTGAGTTGCGTCCAATTTTACAAATTTATTGCCACTGTTGCTAAGCAAAACAGCTGGCCGTTAAGCGAATCCAGCTGGCCTCGTTGACTTTGCTTGTTGGAAACCGGCTGGGAAAATCACAAATGACAATCACGTGATGTCGGGATGCTGCAACCATTGTAAATAACGTGTTTGTTGCGGCTGCTAGATTTTGACTAGACCCGGGTAAGTACGTTGTGTGAATGCAGTCCGGAGTGACGAGTGTTACTTTTGGGGTGGGGCTCTGTTTGCAGAAATACCTCCAGCAGCTGTGGAACGCCATCCTGCTCATCGCCTTGATCCTGTGCACAGGTGTGATTGTGCAGGCACAACGACACTCCCGGCACAGTCAGCTGGACCAGGAATCGGAGGTGGGCCCGCTCCCTTCCTCCGGCTGCTCTTGGCCCAGCCCTTGCAGAGTGCGGATCCGTATCGCTCGGCCTAATGCTCATCTTCGCTCTTGCAGCTGGATCTTAAGCAACACATTGCACAGAAGCTGCTGGCATTGAAAACCAGGCGTTACCACCCTGGCAGGTCACCCCACAGCTGGGCGCATGAGATTGACAGCTGCGCCATCTGCCTGGACCAGTTTCAGAAGAATCAGGTAAGAGTCAGGAAAAAAAAAACCAACACCTGTCTGCAGCCGGTTCCTCAAATACACATCCGCCTTTGCTTCTAAGGCAATCTTCCATAGCGATGCCTGTTGCTATGTGTGGTCGAGCTTATCGACAAAACGTGTTTTAGACCAGCCTTTCTCAACTTCAGCCAACTTTTAAGATGGGTAGACCTCAAATTCCCAGAATTCCCTGTGCTGGCTAGGGGATTCTGGGAGTTGAAGTCCACCCGTCTTAAAACTTGCAGAGGTTGGGAAATGCTGCTTGCTTTGACACAGGGCAGCTTTGATAATGTTGGAACGCATAACCAGGAGTTTGGCCAAATTGGATCTGTGGTGGTTGGTCCCTCCATCATAGACCCCCTGGTCTTTCCTCCTGGAGGTGCTGAGTTCGAGTTGGGATGTCTTAGCCAGAGTTCTCTGAACCAAGCAGGTGTTTTCCTGATCCTGTGAGCCAGGAGGAGCTAACAACTTTTCTCAAGAGTGGAGAAGTTAGGGGGACAGCTGGCTCCCTCCTGCAACCTCTGAGTAGGTGTTAACTTGCCCCACAGTGTCTCCGGGTGTTACCCTGCCTGCACGAATTCCACCAGGACTGCGTAGATCCTTGGCTTCTCCTGCAGCAGACCTGCCCGCTCTGTAAACACAACATTCTCGGTAAGAGCCTGGTGGGGGTAGACTCGGCTGCCCCCCCCCCCCCCCCCCGGCTTCCTGATCCTTGCTTTCAAACATTGCAGGGCCAGAGTAATCAATTAGTACATTTACTAGTAAGCGATAAAATAGGATGTGAGAAACGCTTGCTTGAGTGTTTTCTCAACCTGGCTTAACTTTTAAGAGGCGTGGACTTCAACTCCCAGAATCCCCCCCAGCCTGCAGGCCTCCCAGTTCCGGGAATTGGAGCCCAGAATTAATAACTGCCAGGAAAAGGTGGCAAAATCAGGTGGTGGTGACCAGCTTGACAGCCACTCTGACTTAACAACCGTCATAGGCAAGTTCTATTATGATCATAAGTTGAGAACTACTTGTATATTTATTTTTATATTTTTTAGTAGAAATCCCAATGCTTCCCAGGATAGGAGGTTATCCTGTGTTTTTAGAAGCAGATTGCTGTTTTTATTTTTATTTTTAAAGACAGCCAACATGCTTTCCGCTTAGGAAGAAAAGAATTCTGGGGTCCTTCTGGATGGATGTCCCCTTGACAGTGAACTCTGGAGGCTACTGGTTCATCACTTTGCTGGCTGCTGTCACTGGCTGCTGGCCCTGGGCTTTCTGCCTTTCTAACAAATTCTTCCTCTTTCTTTCTCCTCCTTCTTCTTTTTAGGGAACTGTTGCTGAGACAGGTAGCAAGACCTGTCCTTCCTGCACTCCGAGGGAAGAGGGCGCCTTTCCAAGAAGCCATGACTTACAGCAATGTCTCTCAAGATGTGTGGACTTCAACTCCCAGAATTCCCCAGCCACCTCTTCCTAGAATTCTGGGAGTTGAAGTCCACCCATCTTAAAGCTGCCAAGCTCGAGGAAAGCTGCCCTCCAGTTATGGACCGTCCCTGGGGTTGCTTTGGGCAGTGAAGCAGCTACATTGGGCCACACCAGGACAGGAACCACGGTAGTGATCGGTAAATAATGCGTTCCTCTCTCCTTCGGCCTGTTTGTGCATCCTCTCCGGCCGCCCCTGGACTGAAAGCCACGCCCTCTTTGGTGTGTGTGTGTTCTCCGAACATTTTGTGCAGCTTGGATCTGAGCTGGGATGAACCTGCCCTCCTGGGGAACTCACCTGAGGCCTTTGTCTTGTGAAGGAACGAAGACGAGCGCTGACAAGCGAGGCTTCCAACTAACCCCCTTTTTGGACAATTTGCAAGGGAAACACAAGATTCAGCTGGTGGGGTGAGATGGGAGGGAGGTTTGAAATGCTTCCTTATTTATACTAACTTATTTGAGCAAGGGCTGTTGGGAGGTCCTGGGATGATGTCTCAGAAAGAGCTGAGATGTTCCAGGCTTTATTGGGATGTATATAAGCCCCTTGTCCTAATTAAAATAATTCTAGCAAACTGAAAATGGGGGCCGCTAGTCCTTTCCTTGCCCTAGTCTTTCCTCATCCAGACATCCCCTCCTTTACAGAATTACAGAGTTGGGAGGGACCTTGGAGGTCTTCTAGTCCAACCCCCGGCTCAATACCATTTCAGACAAATGGTTGTCCAATCTCCTCTTGAAAACCTCCAGTGATGGAGCACCCACAGCTTCTGGAGACAAGCCGTTCCACTGGTTGATTGTTCTCAACTATCAGGAAATCCCTCCTTAGTTCCAGGTTGCTTCTCTCCTTGATGAGTTTCCATCCGTTGCTTCTTGTCCTGCCTTCTGGTGCTTTGGAAAATAGGTGGATCCCTTCTTTGTGGCAGCCCCTCAAATATTGGAACACTGCTACCATGTCACACACCCCCCCGAGTCCTTGGAGATTTATCTGTGTCCTTGGGGTCCCCTGAGTAGGGCAAATGGGTTTTCCTGCTGATCCTAATCTCAACCACAGATACAAAAGGTAAGCAGCCGTATTTTGATCAACCTGAAAGTTTGGAGCTGCACAGAAAGCCAGGGGAGGCTCGTGCTGGACTGCCAAGGCCCCGATCTGGACCCCCGCTGTCCCCGACATGCCCTACAATCTAGTAAAGAGCCAAGGCCAGCCAGAGAAGTTCCCATCATGAAGTTTATAACTATGTTAAGCCAAGGACCAGGAGGGCAGGAGGAGGTTTCTAAGGCCGCTTCTGCCCTGGGATCACCCAGCGTTGGCTTCCCCCCTCCTACACAGCCCCTTGCCCGGCACCTCCCGAGACCCCCAATGACGGTCCCGGAGTCCTTCTGAGCGCGCTTCTCTTTATTTCTGGTGGCTGCGGGTACAATAGCCTGGCGGGGGCGGACAACGGCCTCTCCCTTTGGCCTGGCCGTAAGGGCTGCTGACTGCCTCCTTGTAGAAAAGATTGAATGGAGCAGGGCCCAAGGGGGCCTTGGGCGGCTGGGGGCCGGAAGTCCATTGGGGGGCAGGAGCGTAGACGAGAGGATTGTTCGGAGGCCTGTTTCGCGAGGCGTTTCCCACGCTGCTGCTATTAGTCGGAGGCCTGGAGACCTGTCCCTGGAAGCCGGTCCCTGCGGGGTACCTGCAAAAGGAGCAATCAGAGAAGCCAGTGGAAGGGACCCCGTCCCCCGTTTCTAAACCAATCCCCCCCCCCCAAATGGATCCCTTTGGGCCAGCCCACTCACCCCACAGGAGGTGGCATCGCGCTGTCCTGAGGACCGGGTTTTTCGGCAGACCGAATCCACAGCTGGGTTGGAAGCACAAACTACGGGAGAGAGGAATTCCCTGTTAGGCGGTCAGTATCCTAAGAGAGGGAAGGAAGGCACGTCTGTTGACACTCTCCAAGGAGGGCAGACGGATCTTCCTGGGTCACGACAAGCGTTTGGGAAGGAGAGGCTCCACGCCAGCTCTAAAAAAGAGAGGATTTCTCCTAAGCGATCAACGTGAACTCTGCTACCCAAAAGCACGCAGGGAAGACATCCTCCTGAAGCCCTCCGTGGGGTTTTAATAGGAATGGGAGGCAGATTGCAGGAGAAATTGCCTAATGACAATTAACCAGTGGAACTCCTTGCCTCCAGAGGTTGTGGACGCTCCATCACCGGAGGCTTTTAAGAAGAGACTGGACAGCCACTTGTCTGAAGTGGTACAGAGTTGGGACCAATGGTGTTTTCTCACGGCTGCTGGCCAAGTGGCTGATAGTCTGGTGCCTTTTAATTGCCCCCCCTGCCCTGTCCCGTGTGCCCTGGGGACCCCCATCTACCTTCTGCATCTCCTGCTGGGCCGGCTCTTTCATTTTGCCTATCGCGTTTCGGAGGCGCGCGTTCTCTTCCTCCAGAATGCTGATGCGGATGTTGTTGGCCTGCAGCTGTTTCCCCATGTCTTCCATGATGTTCCCGGAGACTGCAAAGAAGCAAACCGGGCGTTTGGGGACTTGGCCTGGACTAGGATAGTCACCTTTTCCCCCCAGTTGAAACGAGGGTTAAATCTGTCTCTCGTTGCGATTAAAGAAGGCGCTTTGTTAACCCAAAATAGCCTCCGGTGGGGAGAACCTTGGATGGGGATCCAGATCGTGGGGCTTATACTGGCAAGTGGCTTCAGCTCCGGGCCTTACTTTCAAACTGGGTCTCGACGGGGAGGTGAAGGTCTGGGAAGAAGACCAAAAGTTTCTCCTTCTCCTTCATCTCGTGGATCAGCTCTCCCAGCTCAGAGATGGTCCTCTGCAGTTCGGAGGACGACTGCTCCAAGCTCTGCTTCTCCTGCTTCAGCTTCTCGGTAAGCTTCTGGGTGGAGAGAGCGGTGCAGGTGATCTTGCAAGCTTTCTGAATTCTACAGCAGAAGTCCTACGGGGAGAGGGAAACTAAGCCTAGCCTCGGAACTAGCGAGCAGTGGGGTTAAGGTGTAGCTATAGCACTTTGCGCTTACTTCTATGCGGCGCTTCCCAGCCCTCTCTAAGCAGTTTTACAGAGCCAGCCTCTTGCCCTCAACAATCTAGGTCCTCATTTTACCCATCTGGGAAGGATGGAAGGCTGAGTCAACCTTGAGCCGGTCAGGATCGAACCACTGGCAGTGGGCAGAACTAGCTGAATTAGAGCAAATATTTTATGCTCCTTGGCTGGCAGGCCAAGAACCGGGCAAATTATTTTCTGCGTGTTGGGTGTGATTTGGGGCCCTGTTGCTGGCTCTCTTTCATCCTGTGCTTTCTCCTTTGTTGGAAGGGCACAATCTAAGCTAGGCCAAGGGGCACCAGCTCTGCTCTGGCTGAAATTCCTACCCCACTGCCTTTCCCCAGACCTTCTGGGCCTCCAGCCGGCCTTGGATCTCCCACTTTTCCTCCTGGACCTCCTTCAGCCGCTCCCTCATCATCTGCCGGTCATCTTCCCCGTCAGCCATGCTGGTCTTCAGCTGCTCGCATTCTTGGTCCAGACTGTCCAGCTGCTGCATTAGAGTCTGTTGTTTGGCCTGGAGGGACTGCAGGGAGAGTTGGAAAGCTCATCATGGGGCTGAAATGCCAGGAAAAGTGGCCACCTTCACTTTGCCAGCTAAGGGCTCCTGGCTGACCGTGGGCTTCAAGAAAGCTTCAAGAGCTTTTCACCGGAGGTCAAGTCTCTCCCAGGTTGACCTCATGGGCACCTCACCTGCTTTTCTCGGCACGAAGACAGAAGGGGCTTCTCATTCCTCCTTCCACTTCCCAGTCTAACTTACAGTTTCCTGGGGGAAAGGAAGGGGAGGGACACACCTCCTCCTTGGTCAGCCTCCCCGCCCCACCGCTGCCCCCTCTCACCTCCTGGTGCTGGAGCATGCTATCCCCTCTGGCTCTCTCTTTATTGAGTTCCAGGGTGGTCCAGTTCAGCTGCTGCTCCACTCTCTCCAGCTGGCTGCCGAGGGCCTTCAGTTGCTCCTCCCGTTTGTCTACCTCATCCTTGTCCACCATCTTGGACTCCATCTCCTGCTGCAGACCCTTTCTGGCCTGTTCTGTGAAAGGCACGGCAGTTCAGGCGCCTGGGGTTTATTTTTAGATCCCTGGGTGACCCTTCCTGAGGCCTTTTCTCACATATGTTTTAGCCGTAGAATAACAGAATTGGAAGGGACTTTGGAGGTCATCTAGTCCAACCCCCTGCTCAAGCAGGAGACCTTAGACCTTTTCTGACAAGTGGCTGTCCAGACTCTTCTTGAAAGCCTCCAGTGATGGAGCACCCACCACTTCTGAAGGCAAACTGTTCCACTGGTTGATTGTTCTAACTCTCAGGAAATTTCTCCTTATTTTTCGGTTGAATCTCTCCTTGATCAGTTTCCATCCATTGTTCCTTGTCTGGCCTTCGGGTGCTTTGGAAAATAGGTTGCTCCCCTCCTCTCTGTGACAGCTCTTCAAATATTGAAAGACTGCTATCATGTCCCCCCCCCCCCAGTCCTTCTCTTCACTAGGTTAGCCATGCCCAGTTCTTGCAACCCCTCTTCATATGTTTTATATGTTTATCGGCAACCGTGATTGCAGATGGTGCCCGTTGGGTTAAACTCAATGTTTAAGTAAGGGTACTTTGGACTACAGCCTTAAGGATATGGCCCTATTTAGTGGCCGTTCAACATTATAACAGTGCTAAAAAAAAAAAAGGAACTTTTCAACTAGAAACACCGTCTAAATTCAGTGTGCAATGTGTTCTTACCCAGTTCCTGGATGGTGCTTTCCTGCGCCTGAAGCTTTTCTTTCAAGGTGGAGAGATTCATCTCCAAAGAAACAGCTCCTGAAAGAAGCCACATGGAAGACTCTTTAGGAGAGCACACTGACACCAACTAAGCGGAGAAGCTGTTTCGAAAAGAGAGGAACATTTCTGAATCGGGGCCTGAAGAATGGAGAAATGCTGTCCCTTTATTGAATGATTAAATCCATTAGGCCTCCCGCCTCACTCTGAAAGGTGATTTTTGGAGGCTCACAATTAAAGGAAGCCCTGCCGAGCATCATCAGCTGTTATTAGATGCTCCAACATCGCCTCGGTTTCTGGGAAATTTAAAACCAGATGTCGGGTGCTTGCAAACAAGCCCGGGTCTGGATCCTCCAATGGGCCCTGCTAAACGGCATTCCCAAGCGATTTCTCATCCCTCTCGAAGAAGGGACAGCTCATTCTGTGAGAACCAGAACTGAGGAACAGCTGACCTTCCACCCTACGTGCCTCCGCTGGCATCGGCAGCAAAAAGTGGGGCATAAATAAATAGACTAGAGAGATATTCACGGTTTCCAAGGTCCTCCTTCGCCTTCTGCAGCTTGACCATCAGCTGCTGGCTTTCCCTCTCCTTTTTTTGTAAAAGCTGCTCGGTCTCCACCCTCTGTTGCTTCTTGGCCTCTTTTTCCTTTTGCAGACAACCGTCCAGGTTCTCCAGCTGCTGCTTCAGCTCATTTTTCTGCTTCTCGAACTCTTCCAGTTCTCCCTTCAAAGGGTTGATGAGTCCCATCAGCATCTGGATATGCTTGCTGATCCGGGAAAGGTCCTTGCTCTGCTCGGTGGCCCAGTAGCTGACGTCCATGGCGGTGAGGAGCTTGCCCCCCAGTCTGTCCTCCACCATCTTGAGGAACTTGCCCAAGGAAGAGGAGATGTTCAGGGTGCTGCAGAGGTCGATAATGGCCTTTCCCACTTCCTGCAGGCTGACCTGGGTGCTTTCACAGGCATCGCAGGGCACCAGACAGCTCTCGATTGTCTGGGAGTGGACACTCCGGCCAGGCAGATTAACGGAAGGATCCGAGCGGGCACTGAGGGCATTGTCCAGCAGCCTGCTGCCAGCGGAAGAGGTTAAAAGGGAAGACTGAAAGCCGGGCAAAGTCACATCCGACTCAGGAGACCCGCTTTTCAAACGCTCGTTCTCAGCTTTCATGGCCCGGAAGGAACTTTTTAGATTAGAAGCATCTTTGGTATATTTTTTCTAGGCACAAAAGAAAAAATAAAAGGCAGTCATTGGCCTCTTAGTAGAAACTTTTATTTTGTGTGCGGTGCATTAACGGATATAAATAATAAATTCGTGACACCAGTGTTGACAATTCACCTTGCACAAAGTCACTCAGAGTGAAATCGAGGAGAGGGTAGTAGAGGAAAAGAACAAAGGAAAATAGTCTGGGAGCTGATCTCATGGATAAAACAACTTCAGAATATTTGATCAGATTATTAGGAAAAAAAAATCCTGCTGCTGTCAGCACTCAAAACTGACAAACGGCATGCAACAGCAATCGAACCTCACAACTAAATTTGCACGTAGTGCTTAACCCATCAGATGTTTTTTGGTTTTGGCTTAGGCTTTGCACAAACCCACTAATTGGCTTTTACCACAATAAACCAGGATTATATTATGGCTCAGCAAATGTGTGAACAGGTCACAGTGGTAGCAACGCTTGTAAGCAACCGCAGCAATGAGGATTGATGGATCATGTTTGTTTTTTTCCCCGGCTTCATCCCTGGGTGTGGCCTGTGGAAATTCAGAGGAGCAAGGCGGGGGGGGGGGGACGACACCACACCTCTGGCTAAACTGGAGCAGATGGACCTTTGCTTACCTCGGCCACCATCTGTTGATAAAGAGCACCCAGTTTCAGCATGCTGTTCCAGTACTTCCTTACAGTCAGCCCAATAGACATGGAGGGTCCTACCGCCCGGGGTGGGGGCACTGCTTCCTCGCTCATGAGGCTCTCGGTGTATCCCGTGAAGCTCTGGAGCAGCAACAGGAGCCTTTGGAGGACCAAAAGGAAATCTTCTTTTCATTTCATGGCAAATCCATGCCCCACTGCTCCTTCCTTAAGGAAGCCCAACTCATTGCAGGACAAACAATATTTTTTCAAAAACAATTTATGGAAAATTAAATGTAATCAGCATTGTAGGGGGAATAACAGCTCAATTAATCCCCCCTGTACTATTCTCCAAAAATTAGGAGCCATGGTATTGCAGGTTAATTCTGCTGACGGCTACTGTTGGCAGTTCAAGTCTCAGCAGCTCAAGGTTGACTCAGCCTTCCATCCTGAGGTCAGTAAAATGAGGACCCAGATTGTTGGGGGCAAGACGCTGACTCTGTAAACCTCTTAGAGAGGGCTGTAAAGCACTGTGAGGCGGTATGTAAGTCCAAGGGCTATTGCTATTGTTTATTTATTCAATTTTATATTGCCTGACTCCAGAAGCAAGTCTCCAGTGCGTTCACTGAGGCTTAGCCCCAAAGAAGAAAAAGCTAAAGTTGCATATAAACTTACCTGTCAATCACTAGTTCCAGAAGAACCACATGAGAATGCTGTGTAAATTCAGGGTCATCCTCGACAAAGTCATATTGTCCCATCAAAGCCACCAAGTCTAAGTCACAGGACACTTTATCTGGAAATTTCCAGGAAGGAAAGCGCACGGCTCCAGCGTGGGAAAATACGCTGATGACCGTCCCTTGGAGATCCGTGATGTCCTTCCGCAAGCTTTCCATGCAGTTTCTGTTAACCAACAAACTCACCATGTTGCCCCCCGCCCCGATGTCATTTGAACCATAAGAAAAGCGCTCGAGTCTTCTTCAGACAGATGTTCCTGGAGGGAAGCAATTCACGTAAGAAAACTGGCATGAAAATGGCTAACTAGAGCCCAGGAAAAGCAACTGAGGTGGGTGGGACTTGCAAAGCTCAGCTCCCAAGTCTTCAACTTTGGGTGCCATGGCCTCTCGTTTAGCAACATCCCCCTGCCCAAATTTCTCAGGTTGTCAGATGCATGCATGAAACACGCCTTTCGTGCATGCATTTGAAAATCTGACAAAAACACGCCATAGAAGCTTAAAGGGTAATATAGGAAGGGTGAGAAATGGGCATCTGATGCAATGAAGCCTGGTACCTCCTCCCAGCTTGGATCTCAACACCCATCATCCTCAACTAGCATGGGAGTTGCGATTCACTATGTTAGGAAAACACTGGGCTGGGCTGCTCTGGCTTCCTGCAATTAAGGAAATATATTGGAAAATGGGGATAGAGAGCCAAGCTCCCCGGTGCCCTCCTGGGTTTGAATTGCCAGTCAGCAATTAGCTCGTTCTAAATGTGATTTCTTAGATTTTTATCTATCTTTATAAGTAACCCAAGGTGGAGAGCAACAGATAGATAGATAGATAGAGAGAGAGAGAGAGAGAGAGCGAGAGAGAGAGAGCAAAAGGCACTCTGCCCATGCCCAGAGGCACTCTTCCCCAATGCTGCAGAACTACCCCCCGCCAGAGCAGCCGAGACTTATGGGCTCCATGCCTCCCAGAGGCTCCCCCCAACTAAAAACTGGGGAGGGGTCTACGAGGGCGGGGGGAAGACCCACCTGCCGAATAGCAGCCGCCGCCGGCTCTCGCCAGGCGTCGCGCAGGCCTCCGCTGCCATGGCAACTCCTGTAAGCCTCCCCGGCGCACGCGCGGCTCGAGGCCCCGCCCCTTTCGAATGCTGGCTAAGGTCTTCCTCACGCCGACCGCAAAAAAAAAAAGAAAAAGGGGCCGCTCTACCCACGTCCTCTATGGTGCTCGACGTGTCCAAAAGAGTGTGCGCAGGCACCGCCGCTTCTTCCTAGGCTCCACCTTCTTCCAGAGGCGGAGCGGGCTCCTTGTGTGCGCGCGCACTCTGGCTGAGGCCGCCATTTTATCCCCGAAGTTCGGTCCGTCTGTTTTCGCTCGGAGCCTCCTCGGTCCCGCCGCAGAAAAGCCTCGCCATGCCGGCCGGACCGGTGCAGGCCATGGCGCCCGCCCAGCCGGCCCCTCCGGAAGCCAAGCAGGTGATTTTGCAGCTTTCGCCTTCGTCGGGGATGAGGAGCCCCCCCCTTTCCCTCCTCCCTCCGCTTCTCGGCCTTCGCCCCTCAGAGGAGGGGGGCGCGCGAGGCTTTCTCCCAGAGTGCTTAGCGAGAGGAGCGGGGTATGCCGGGACTTGTAGTGGTGTTGCGAATCGCTTTTCCTGCAGCTCTGCCCTCCCCTAGGGCTGCAGATCCCATCGTCCCCAGCCAGCTTGGATAGGAAATTAAGGCAAGGGAAGAGGGCTGTAGGGGCGGAGAAACTGAAGAGTGCAGGGAGTCAGTGACACACAACCACAATTAAACCCAAATCCCTGTGGCTAAATAAGACAGTTGTTAAGTAAGCTTTGCCCCATTTTATGACTTTATTGCCACAGTTAAGCAAAAACGGGGTTGTTAAGTGAACCAGGCAGTTAAGTAAATCCGGCCTCCTCATGGATTGCTGATTGAAAGCTGGCTGGGAAGATTACAGATGGTGATCACATGACCCTGGGACAGTGCGGCTGTCATAAATACACGCCAGTTGCTGAATTTTGACCATGGGGATGCTGCAATGCTCATAAGTCACTTTTTTTCCATGCTGCTGTAACTTTGCTGACTAAACAAAAAGTTGTAAGTTGAGGACTAATTGTATTTTGCTTTTGACAGCCTAGGAATTTGATGACGGAAGGAAGGGCTTTTTAAATGGTTTGTTCTCCAAGTCGCTCTGTTATGCTACCTGTCCCACAACACCATTTCAGCTCTTGGAGACAGCCCCATTTGTTCCCCTGAGCTAATTCTGAAAGCCCTAATTATGTTTCCTCGTGTCTCCTTACAGCCGGAAGATGAACCAAAGGAAGAGACCACACCTGCCAAACCGATTGTGGGAATTATATATCCACCACCGGAGGTTAGAAATATTGTGGACAAGACAGCCAGTTTTGTGGCCAGGTGAGAAAGCCTAGATGAAACTCCTGAAATAAATAAATAAAATAAAGGGTCAGAATAGTTTGGTGATTTTTGTGCTTGAAATGTTTTGAGTTTGATATACTTCGAGATGATGGGATCTCCTGGCTTCAGTGGCTTCTGAGCAACAGTTTGGTTTGGTTTTGACTTTTCCAGAAACGGCCCTGAATTTGAAGCTCGGATCCGCCAGAATGAAATCAACAACCCCAAGTTTAATTTCCTGAACCCCAATGATCCTTATCATGCCTACTACCGCCACAAGGTCAATGAGTTCAAGGAAGGAAAGGCGCAGGAACCCTCGGCAGCCATTCCGAAGGTTATGCAGGCCCAGCAGACTGCCCAGCAGCAACTTCCCCAAAAGGTAAAATGGGCTTCATCTCCTGGTGCAGCTTCTTCCTTTCCTTTGTGGTTCGACACCTAGCAAAGATAAGAGCTTATAGCTTCTCTTGACTTTTCTCATCTCCTGGAAAGATACTGCCAAAAATAAGGGTTTCTTAAGAAATTCCAACTGGTGGGGTCTTTGCTGTTGCATCCACCCTTTAGAACATGTTATTCTCCAGCGGTGTGTAAAAAGCCTGGTTCTGCCCATTAGCATGGGGGCCTAAGAATGGGATGCAACTTTAGGGATGGCTGATGGCTTGAAGGGGTTTCTGCCTTGTTGACTTTTTTAGCCTTTTGAATTTTTAACTTCGAATTCCACTTTTGCTTTGCAAGTTTTAACCTGATTGCTAACCCCATTATAATCTGTTTTGAGTGTTTTATTACGTGGTTGAAAACCACCCCATCACTTTGGTTGAGACGGACTGTGTAGAAATGCAATCAGTAATTAAATAAAATTTGTGGAGCGAAGAGAGAACCGGAGTTCTGTGTCTCTGTCTTCTACAGGTCCAGGCCCAGGTGATTCAGGAAACCGTGGTTCCAAAGGAGCCCCCGCCAGAATTTGAGTTCATTGCAGATCCTCCCTCGATCTCGGCTTTCGACCTGGATGTGGTGAAACTGACTGCCCAGTTTGTGGCCCGCAACGGCAGGCAGTTCCTGACCCAGCTGATGCAGAAGGAACAGAGGAACTATCAGTTCGACTTCCTGCGTCCCCAGCACAGCCTCTTCAATTACTTCACCAAACTGGTCGAGCAGTACACCAAGGTGATGCTCTTTGGATGCAAGGGGGCGTTCGCTTTAGCAAACTGGGGAAGGGGGGGTGTCTTGATTGTCTGGGGGGGAACAGAGTGAACTCAATTTGATGAATATTAAATATTAAATGAATCTGTTTTTACAGATCTTGATCCCACCAAAGGGCCTCATTATAAAATTGAAGAAGGAAGCCGAAAATCCAAAAGAAGTCTTAGATCAGGTAACTAAAGATTATTATTACTATTATTATTACTATTATTATTATTACTACTACTACTATTATTATTATTATTATTATTTGTATAATTTGATTCTAACATTCAGGTCCTTAAAAATGGTAGGGTCAAGATTTTGTTTCATTTTCTGATATTTTTGGGGGAACAGGAGAAGCCTGGAGTTTCTTTTCACCAAAGGCTTATGCCTATTTAAAATCTACCCTGCTGTTTCCATTATTTCTTGCCTCAATATATCAGCCAATTGAAATACTCTTTTTATTTTTGTTGTTTGGATCCAGAGAGGCTTTGGGGTGGCAAAAACACTCAGGCTGCCTAATGCTGACTTAGAAATATAATTTGATCTCTTCCAAAGGCTTCCTGAATTTTAACAAAAAAAGGGGAACTTTCCCAAAACCTGTAAAAGGAAGGTAGTTTTTTTGCTGTGGCCTCCCCTCACAAGCACTCCCTTTTCCTTGGCTGGTGTCCCCTGCAGGCGTGCTACCGAGTGGAGTGGGCCAAGTTTCAGGAGCGTGAGCGGAAGAAGGAAGAGGAGGAGAAAGAGCGCGAGCGTGTAGCTTACGCCCAGATCGACTGGCACGACTTCGTGGTGGTGGAAACGGTGGATTTCCAGCCCTCGGAGCAAGGTTCGTTCCCCCCCACTCATTTCAAAAGCATTGTTTTTTTCAGAGGCTCCCTGCATGCAGAGGCAGCCAGGAACCCCTGCTGATAACCAGGAAGGAGAAAACACGCATTAGACCAGCATGCTTTCTGCCTTCGGTCCCCGCCGGCTTTTGAACGGGGAGGGACGTTGCGGAATAAATTGAGTTACCAAAATCAGAGTTGACTCACAACAGTCAGCCCCTCCAAACTGGAGTTAATTAGCTTGCAAAGAAGATTTGCTTTTAAATCTTGATTTAAATTATGATTCAAAGATAGGCTGGACATCTTCCTGTGATCGTCTTCACCTTCGGCCAATCCTATACGGCATATATAGTTAAAGGATTTATTTGCTCGATTTATATAGCCACCAACCTTGCTTTTACACCAATCTTGATGGCTTAACAATAGAACAAAAACAGAGAATACGTAATAGAAAACTGAAATAAAATAACCAAGGCAGCCAGGCATGATCTCACCCAGTGCTTTCTTACTCAAAACCACTTAGAAAGTCCTTTTTTGACTGATGTTTTTTGAGGATTTGATTTGATGTTTGGCTAGAGACATTACAATTAACAAGAATTCGTCCCACCCCCCTCGTCTTCTTTCCATTGAAGGAAATTTTCCTCCTCCCACCACTCCCGAGGAACTAGGCGCTCGGATCCTGATCCAGGAGCGCTACGAGAAGTTCGGGGAGAGTGAAGAAGTGGAGATGGAGGTGGAATCGGACGACGAAGATGACAAGCAACAGAAGGCGGAAGAGACTCCCTCCCAGCTGGACCAGGACACCCAAGTCCAGGATATGGACGAAGTGAGTGAGGAAAACAGACC